TACACAAAATCATCACCAACACCAAAACCAATACAAAAAATGGGTTTAACAGCCCAAATAAGGCTCAAATGCCACCCAGCACTTTGGCATCCATCTCGAAGTACTACTACCTATGACCGGGATGCACATGACTCACAAACACTCATCAATTTTACTCAACAACCATCGAGCAAAAGTGAATCAGCCTCCAAACCCCAAACCATAGAGAATTAGCCTCTAAAACCCTCGAACTAGCTTAAATCGATCTAAAACTACCTCAAACCGGACTGCACCGGCCATGAAATACTCAAAATTAGATTGAACTGGTCCCAAAACCCTAGGAATTGGATTGAACCGGGCAGTAAACCCCTGAACAAGCCTGAACTAGGCCAAAAACCCTAATTTTATATACTTGTACACTAAACTAGCCTAATTTTCCCACTGAATTGGCTAGCTTTTTGATAAACCAACCCACTTAGAAGTGTGAACTAGTTTTGCCTACTCAGAACCGGTCTAACATTCTAGAGAACCGGTCTAAAAACTGATGAACCAGCCTTTAAACCAAAATTTCCCTAAACTGGAATCCTAATTAATATTAAATTATTTAATTCTGGGTTATTTAATTCCTTCCAATCACGTTCTTGTTTTAAATCGCCCCTAGGATAACCTATCCCAATTTTGACCCCTAGGTTAACCTACTAGTCAACCTAGTTGAATAAATTAGTGGGCTAAGTCAACTCACGAGTTGACTTAGCCCAAGCCAGCATAGTGGGCGGGCCCATAGGCTGCGATCCAGACTGGCCAAGCCCGGGCCTAAACAGGCTCGACCCAACCCAACAACCTAGACTTAGATCCATCTAGGTCTTTTCTTCTTCGCCCGGCAACCTGGGTCCCTGATTCGGTTGGTGCAACTCACCTGTTGGCCTAGAAAACAAAAAAAAATCATGGTTTTTGATGTTTACCTCGATTGATTGATGCCCCTAGGTTGAAGCTCTAAACCTAAGGACCAAGCTTATGGCCTTTAAGCACCAAAACAACCAATCAATCTCCCCTACATCACAGAAAAATTAGTTTGGTCACGAACGGACCGACTGAACTAGACAAGCTCGAATTTCTCTTCACTCTCTTTCTAACACTCGAAATCCCTAGAGGGCAAATGAACATTGGTTTGCCTCGCACACTTCTACATAAAAGATCGAACCAAAATCGTGCGAAATGATGGTGAATTTGACAAGAACAGATCTAGTGCACAATAGATCTACAGATAATCCGTCTTGTCAAAATTTAGCCTATGAAATTTTTATTTCTTTCACTCAAGCCCTTCTGGTTTTTTAATTGAGTCTCTGAATCATGTAATTCCTTCAATTGACCCCCCGCCAAATTCAATTGAGTCTTGAACTTTTCAGATATCCTAATTTAGCCCCAAAACTCCTAATTCATTCAATTAACCCCTCCCAACTTTCAAATTTGACCCTAAGATTTTTAATTTATACATCTAGGTCCCTAATCTTAATTAAAATTCATTAATTCCCTAATTAACTTAATTAGGTGTAATATCCCTAAATTTTGGAGAAAAATTGTAAATTAAGGGACTGGGGATGTCGGGGAATAAATTAAGATGTTTGGGGATTGAATTAGAAATTTGAAAGGGCTTGTCTGTATAAATTAAATGATTTGGGGCGTTTCTGCTAAATCTGAAAGAGTTGGGCCAAATTATTTTTTTAAAAAAAATTGGCCGAAAGTCGGCCGAAGATCCTAGAAGAAAAAATTTCTCCAATAGGAGTGGAACAACACAAAATTAACTTTGTAACTTTATATATAAAGCTGAAACGAGTCTGGGTGTGCGATTAATTAAGAAAATTAGTGAGAGGAGAGGGAGAAAATCGAGCTGGAAGAGCCGCGGACCGGCGGAGCTTCGACTGGAAGAAAAAGCTTATTTCGGTGGAGATTTCTCTAATTAAGTGTTGCTAAGGAGCTTGAAGATCACGAGGGACTATTTAGGAAGCTTCGAATCACTTGGGTAAGTAATTTGGATGAATTAATTTAGCTTAGGAGTGTCTGGATTGAGGAATTTTAAAAACCGGGTACAACTAGGGTTTTCGGGTGGAAGGGAAAGACCCAGACAGCGTCCGAGTCTGACCGGCCATTGACCGGTCCAGTCTAGCCCTGTTGGGCTAGAATCAGCCGATTCAGGGGTTTTTTGAACCCCGATTCAAGAACCAAACCCGGTTCCCAGTTCAAAGAGGGGAGAGGGGTGTTTTGGGACAGGTTTCGGGGGTGGAACCAGTCCAGTTCAAAGGGTTTTTAGGGAAAATGGTTGAACCGGCCAGTTTTTGGGGAATTAAGGTCGGTTCAGGGGTTTAAGGCCCCGGTTCAGGGGGTTTTCTCGGGGATTTGGGCCGGTTCAGTCCGGTTCTCTGTAGTAGGGGACCGGTTCTTCATGGGTTAGGAAGGATAGAGCTCGATTCACCCTAGTTTAGGTGAATTTGAGCCTGGTTTGGCTCGGTTTGGTTTGGTTTATGGGAAATGAGCCCGGTTCAGTGGGGTTTTGATCGGATTTGGTCCAGGTTTTGGTAGTTTAATGATAGTTCAGCTCGGTCATGAGATTCAGGAATCCAGTTCGAGCCCGGTTCATGTTTTTGAAATCCAGTTCATTTGATTTACGAAAACTGTTAAGATTGAGATGTGGGGTTGGCTTAAGCATAAATTGAGTTAGTTAGTGACAACTCAAGAAGGGTCTTGGGGTGCATGTCGGGGCCCTGGTCGAGGGTTTAGATCCCGGGCCACTTTTGATAATTTGGATTTTTAGAAATAAATTCCGATTTTGGTTCTGACGTAGGTGTCGGTGATTGTAGATCCTCCGGAGGAGGTACACATTGGTCTTTGAGCCGACCATCTAAGTTTTAGCATTTGATTTTGACATACCCGGTGAGTGATAGTACTCTCTGTACATGTGTTTGCATTCTGGTTTTCGGTTAATTTTCGTGTTCTGATTTCTGAAATATGGTATTAAGTTTCAGGACATGAATCTATCTATTTTTAAATATGATAAGTTTGAAATTATTTTTGTAATTAATTGCATACCTGCCTCAGTGATACATGCGTTTTTAAAAAGGTGAATTTGTCGTGAGTTTTTATATGATTCCGGTTTTCTAGTTCCGACTTTAGTTCTGATATAGGGTGCTAGGGACTCAGCCGACGGACGGTGTGGTGCTGTAGCGTGCAGAGAGTGCCTTGGGCTCAAGATGTGATATGTGTGATTCTGATTCTAATTCTAATTCTGGCTCTGGTTCTGGCGCGGGATCTCAGTGCGACAGATATGTGATATGTTACTCTAACTCTGATACGGGACGCCAGGGACTCTGCCGTCATACGGTTGCCTACCGTAGCGTGCAGGAAGTGCCTTGGGTCCGCATGTGACTCTGATTCTGATATGTGATATGTGATATGTGACTCTAACTCTGATACGGGACGCCAGGGCTATGCCGTTGTACGGTTGGTCACTGTAGTGTGCGGGAAGTGCCCTGGGTCCACATGTGACTCTGGTTCTGATATATGATATGTGACTCTGACTCTGATACAGGACGCTAGGGGCTCTGCCGTCGTACGGTTGGCCATCGTAGCGTGCGGGAAGTGCTTTAGGTCCACATGTGACTCTGGTTCTAATATGTGATATGTGATATGTGACTCTGGCTCTGATACGGGACTCTAGGGGCTCTGCTGTCGTACGATTGGCCATCGTAGCGTGCGGGAAGTGCCCCGGGTCCACATGTGGCTCTAGTTCTGATATGTGTTATGTAATACGTTCTGATACTCCGACAGATTTCTGTTTTCTGATTCTGATTGTGCATATGTAAACTACACGTGTTATTTGAGGCAAATTTGATTTTTGTAACTATGTTATTATTTGGAAACAACACGTGTGTTTTAAATGACGATGGTTCCTGTCCCGGCATGTTTAGAGTAGTATTGTCATTCATTGAGTTTTATACTCACCCATTTTTCCCCACCTTTCAGAATCTAGTTCTTATTGGTGGCGGTAGCTCCAGCATCAATTTCGTCATCACTGTACTGATTTGATTGTACGGGTACTTTCTGTATAATTACCATTTTGTACTTTAGATGCTCTGTGTATAATTCAGATGTATTCTGTCATGTATATTGATAGTTTTTAAATAAAATATTTTATCTGTTTCATTATGATCAAGGGCTTACTAGGGTTGTACGCCAATTCTAGTGCCAGTCACGTTCCCAGATTGGAGCGTGACATTAAGGTCATTACAGAAACAAAAAAATCTGTTTGACATATTATTTTTGGATTAATTTTTAAACGAAGGGACTTCTTTTTAAGAAATAATAAAAATTAGTGACAAAAAAGAAGCTGAACTAGTATCATTTACTAATTTTGATACTATTTTAATATATATTATAATATTTGACTCAGCATGTCAATGACGTTAATAACTGGTGAATCAATAACAGATATTGATTTTAATATCAATCTAATATATATTATGAAATTTGATCAATTAAGTTAGTAATCTTAGTATTTGTTAAATTAATATCATATGTTAATTCTCATATTAATTTAATATCTATTATAGTTCTAATTCAATGCATCAGAATCTAGCACTCAACTGATTATAAACAATTATAAATGGAGAGAATACTAGCCTTATACAGTAGTTCCTAAGCAATTAAGCAGCCTATCGTAGAGTTCCTTCTGCTTGAGTAATCCGAATAATGCTTACACGAGTTGTGGGATGATTTCAAAAGGATCATAAAGGTACAAACCATGTATACAAGTTAAGCTTTTGCTGCCCAAAAGTGGTAATTAAGCCAAAAAAAAAAGAAGAAAAAAGACGACAAAGTTCTAAGAATATCACGATAACTGTACAGTAATTTCCCTCCATGGCAGCATAGGAAGAACTCATAAATTAATTAAAACAGAACATAAAGGATTTAAACAAAAAAATCAAAAATAAAACGCCTGGATTTCTTTTACCCAACACTTTTGTTCATCATTGGTTCGTGTCTGGTTCAATGTCCTTGAGAAGACCAACAACCTGCTGCATACTCGGTCGCTTTGAGGGAAGATCTGCCGTGCAAAGATACCCAATTTTTAGGGCTTCCTCCATTTGTGACTCCTGCCCTGTCCCACGAATTTTTGGATCGATAGCCTTAGATCCCTGGTTCTTCCTCACTAGTCCTCTCACCCAAGCGACCAAATTCCTTTCTCTCTCATCCGGGTAGTCATCTTCAATGGGCTTCTTCCCCGTAATGAGCTCAAATAGAACCACTCCGAATCCATAGACATCGGACTTCGGCGTGGGAGTAGTAACCTCTGGCTGGAGAAACTCCGGTGGCACATACCCTGGTGACCCATGCATGATGTCATCCCGGGGGTCATTCCCAAAAACCTTGGCAAGTCCAAAATCAGACAACCTAGGCTCCAAATTAGAATCAAGATAAACACTGCTAGCCTTGACATCCCGATGAATTATAGGGGGTGAGCATCCGTGGTGGAGAAATGCCAGCGCTCGGGCAGTGCCAAGTGCAATCTTGTGCCTAAACCTCCATGTTGTTACCGAACCGTCGGACTTGACATTTCTTATCCCTTCGCGATCATCTTCCTCCCACGTATCTGTGCTCCAATCCTCGGTCCTTTGAACCCCGAGAGGCAAGTCATGAAGCAAGTTCTGCAAGTTCCCATTCTCCATATAGTCATAAATGGCAATCCTTTGGTCACCAGCTAGGCAATATCCGGTCAAAGGGAGAAGATTTGGGTGCTTGATTCGGCCAAGAAGCTCGAGTTCTCTTGCAGCCTCTTGCTCGGTCAGGGTTGACCCATGTACCAAGACTTTAACGGCTACATGAATACCGCCAGTCAGAAATCCTCTGTAGACCGGCCCAAATCTACCCTCGGCCAGTAAGGTATCCCTGTCAAAGTGTGAAGTCGCCGACAACAGGTCTGCGAAGGTGAAATTAAGCAATGGCTTCTCAAAAATAACTACCGGGACGGATGGTGCATGCTTGACATCAGCCACCCATGTGGTTGAATCAGTCTGGAACGAGAAAGGCCCTGAAATATTCTGCTCTTCTTTGCAAGGGTCCTGCTTCACCGCCCACATTCGGGTTTTTCTCCGGCAACCGAAGGCTAAGAAGAGTAACCCCACAAGCAAACAGACCAAAGAAATAGCCAAAGCCAAAGCAAGCTTGAGACCCCTATACTGCGGGGCCTTCTTTCGGAAGAGGTCCGGGTTTGCCGCGATTGGGCAGCTATTGAGCGACCCTATGAAGGCCGACTGGAGGGTTTGTGGTGAAAATTCCGAGGCACAAAGGCTTAAGTTGTTGTACGAGAAGTTGAACCTCTCCATCCACGGGAGCTTTTCCAAGAGTGAATCCGGGATTTCCCCGCTCAAATTGTTGTAAGAAACATCAAGAACTAGGAGGCTTTTGATACTAAAAATAGGAACTTCACCACTGAGGCGGTTCTTGGAAAGGTCTAATGTTTTCAAACAACTCAGTTCAGAAATTTCAGCAGGAATATGACCAACAAGGTCAGTTTCTGACAAGTTCAGATGCTCTAAACCTGAGATCACTCTAATTTCGGGGAAATAATGCTCGTAAAACTGATTATGTGCTAGATTAAGGTGTTTCAGATTCTGGGCTTCAATCAAATTGCTAAAGAAATCTCCACTTAGTTGATTCTCGGATAAGTCTAAGTAGACCAAATTAGACCAATTGAAGCTAGAATTGAACTGTACCTTCGAAATGTGCCCCTCAAACTGGTTTTTGCTCAAGTCTATGACTTCCAATGGCTCCTGAAAGACACCAAAAACAGAACCCTGAAACCGATTACCAGAAATGTTAAGGTATTTGGTGGAAATCATCCCCGAAAAATCTGAATCCTGGCCACGAATCCCATTCTGGGCTAAATTCAATGACTTGAGCTTAGGAAATGCAACACCAAAACCTTCAGGAAGAGACCCATTTAGCTGATTTGATGAGAGATCAATTGAAACAAGGGACCTGCAATTCAAAATCCCCAGAGGAATGCTAGATTCGAAGTGATTACCGTCTAACTTAAGGACTTGGAGACTAAGGAGGGAGCTTATGGTGTCTGGGATTTCGCCAGAGAAATTGTTCATAGAGAGGTCCAAGGTTTCAAGAAGACCAAAATTGCCTATGTTATTTGGGAGGGCCCCAGAGATCAGATTATTTGACAAATTGAGAAATTTCAGTGAACCCAGACTCCAAAAATCTGAAGGAAAGCCAGTGATCTTGTTGTTGCTCAGATCCAATGATTCAAGCTTTTTAAGTTTGCCAATGGAGGTATCAGGTATAAAACCCGATAAGCCCAATCCAGAAGCCACCAACTTTACAACACTGTCTTCCTCACAAAACACACCTTGCCATGTACAAACATGGGCAGAAAAGTTATAATTTTTGGAAGAATTTAGACTTAGGCCCATCTTTTGCAAGAAATCAGAGACAAAGTAGCCATCAGTGTTGGGTTGTTGGCAAATTAGGGGCCTAAAAAAGAGTGTTAGGAGAAGGAAAAAGGTGAAAAACCGAAAACCCATTTGGAAAAATCAGAGAGGAGATAGGGATAGAGAGAGAAACTCAAACCGGATCACAAACCCAAAACCCTCGGCGACTTCAAAACCACCCAACTCTTGCACTGGCCTTGGAACCCAAAACCACCATGCTTGAGTCATAAATGGTTGTGGAAGCAGCTGAGGCAGTACCTCTCTGGCCTCTGCAACTCCATTAAATCCGCACCCACAGGCAAATCCGGACAATTTCTGGGGCTTCAACACAAGGTGATTTCTGGGTGAAGAATGAATCTTTAATATGACATCACATTAGGACAGTTTTGGATTTGGGTGGTCATGCTCTGCCCGGAAAACCTCAGAACTCACTGCAAAGAAACCAGGAACTGGAAAATCAAACAATTTTATAGATCTGTAACGGGAAATAATTCAAGTTTCAGGAGAAGCAATGTAAGCTCACCTTGGAGGCGTATGAAATACAGAAGAGGATGAAACCAAATGCAGAACCTTTCTGTGTTGAAGAACATGGGAATGGGAAAATTAAATTTTTATACGCGGCTATTTACAAAATATTTAATTAAAGAGAGGTGCCCACAGAGAGAGAGAGAGAGAGAGAGAGAGAGAGAAAGAGAGGGAAACCAGAGAATTGACTGCTGGGTGGAGTAGTCAGAGGAGAGAAGTTAAGGTTCTTAAATGAATGGGATGGCTTGCGGTTGGTGAATTTATCAGGAAGCCGATGGGTGGGAATTGAATGATGCTGCACTGCTTGTGTTGATTCATCATCTCTCTTCTTTCCGGCGAGAGATGTTGATAAGTTTTTGACACTGTAGTCTTAAAAATAAGTTCCGTGATATTTGGATTTGTGTTTTCTTTTAATTTTTCTGTTCTCAATTTTTATTTTTTATGTTTTCGAAAATAAAAAAAATTAATGAAAATTTTGGTAACTTTTAGAAATTTAAAATAGGTATATTTTTTAAAGTTCTCTTCAAATTTTTTGTGAAATTTTATTTTATTTATAAAAATAAATCCAAAAAACCCATTAATAACTTTTAAATTATAAGGGATTTATTTAAATTTTATTTTCATCAAGTCATGCAAAAAAATCTTTGATCAAAATGCAAATTAGCCTCAACCACATTGAGAGAAAGGGATGCCTAAGATTTTTCATACCCCAATGAATGCGAGCAAAAACTAATTATGGTTATAAAAAACCTTCCCTTCGGAGAGTCAAAAGGAATGGAAGGAAAACTGGCACTTTGTTCAGTATGGAAGAAAAACAGAACAAAATAAAGGCACGTTTGGCAGGTATACAAAGGTGGGTTGCTTTTGCTTTTTCCGGCTTCCTCGGTATCTCCTTTTTGCCAAAGCCAGGATAACTTCTCTCTTTCCTTTTCAACTTTTTCTTTCAGGAGAACTTTTACCAGCAAATCTTTAATCCCCACTAAAAATGCCTTTGTTCACAACAAAATTTACGAAAAGATGACAAAAGAATGGAAAGATGGATTAAAATTGTCTTGAAGCAACTTTCACCCGTATTGGATGATAGTGTACGTGTTCAACACGAAAAGAAAGAGAGCATCGAAATGTTTAAAACTGTTTTTCAAAAGGTGGGTAAAATAAGTTTATATGAATTTCCGCCATATCAACGATTTTAATTTAGAAAAATTCAATGTAAAAAACTCAAAATATAATACGTTATGTTGATATAACAAATTTTAAAGCATGAATTTCATTTTAATTATTTTATATATTTTTTAAATCAATACAAAAATTAATTACCAAATTAGAATTCCTACAGATAAATATCATAGTATACAACTTTTCTCTAGACTATCTGGCAGGACCTAGCATCTAATTCTCACCATTTTTAATTTCCAAAATTCTTCATCATAAATTTCTAATTAATATATGCAATCCTTCATTTTGTTATAAACCAAAAATAACATGGTAATTGACATATTAACTGAAAATTTGGAGGTTTTAGTAGGCAGCAAGGATCCAAGCAGATTGTTTATCCCAAAAAAAAAAAAAAATAATAATAATAATAATAATAATAATATGATGATGATGATGATGATGATGATGATGATGATGATGATGGAGTAAAGTATGAGAGAAGTCTTTATACCCATGTAAGTATATTTTAACTAAACTCTAAATTTAGTCATAAAGATAACCTTTGTCCCCTGTTCCTTTCTGAATGCATTTATGTTATTAACACAAGTCACCAACCTGCATATTATCATACTTAAAATGGTTAGTTATGGTTATCAAACAAGCTGTCCGTCACCATTGTTTAATTTCATCTGGTAATTATCAGAAAAAGACAAGGAGGAATGGTAAAACCCAATCCTCCCTCCCGCTTAAGTAAGGTTAAAAAACAAAAGACTTACTTTCCTTCATAATTTTCCCACAAGATTTTCCTTAGAGGAAGTGATTTTTATGGATGTGTTAGGCTTGGATTAATACTAGAATTGCTTTTTTGTGATTGGAAAGTCATAAATTTAACTTTCAATGTAAAAAAGAAAAGGTGGTTTTATTTGTTTTTTCTCTTTTTTTTGGTTGGGGGGCGGGGGGGGGGGGGGGGGTGGGGGGTAGGTTTTCACCCACTTGCGAAAGATGGTCAAATTCATAAATTAAAAAATTATTCGTCTGGAAAAATTTAACTTTTTTAACCATGTTAAATCAAAGTGGTCCTACAGGAAATCTCATCATATGACTAAAATAGTAAACATGTCATAATACAAATTATTATATCGGTCTCATCTTCTCAGTTTCCACTAGGAAGAATAGAAGATGAAGTGGGTAGCTGTCCTCTGTTGACTAACTTTTTGTCCATGCCAGGTGTCCTTTTCCTTTTTATGGAGTGCGAATGAAGTGAAATCATATCTCTCTCTCACACACATTATTATTATTATTATTATTATTTGGGTTACAGTTCTCTCATTATTTTAATTGCCAGGAAATGGATATGCCGTAGTCCACAAGCCAGCCGCCATTCATTATTCAATGAAGCGAAAGGAAATTTTTGATAGGTCACCTGAAATCGGGATTATATTTACATGTTATTACGCTGGAGTACATTTTGTCATAGCACTATACCATCTTCTTTTCTCATCCTACGGCTACTGGAATTGTTAATTCGACGGTTCAGATTCTTTGCTTCTTTTTAAGAATACTTTGTCTTTTCTTATACATATATATTTGATCAAAAGGCTGAATTGGCAATTTATTAAAGTCAGGGTAGCTTCAAATTGATCCTAATAAGGCAATCTAGCATTAAATTAATTTAATTACTGTGACACCCCAAAGGGGGTGAGTGTGTGTGACACCCTTAGGCAAATCCCACATCGACAAAACACGGGAGAGATCCTGCACTTATTAGAAACTAGAGGCTACTACTGAAAAACTTGGGCTTAAGCATTTTGGGCCAGTGGTTCAGGCTCAACAAGTTGCTAGGGTCAGTAGTCTCAGGTCGTTACAAATGGTATCAGAGCCACTCCGCGTGCAACCTTTAATGATGGTGGGGCAAACCTCAGCGAGGACGCTGAGTCCCAAAGGGGGGGTGTATGTGACACCCCAAATAGGGGTGAGTGTGTGTGACACCCTTAGACAAATCTCACATCGACAAAATACGGGAGAGATCCTGGGCTTATTAGAGACTAGAGGCTACTACTGAAAAACTTGGGTTTAAGCATTTTGGGCTAGTGGTTCAAGCTCAACAAGTTGCTAGGGTCAGTAGTCTCGGGTCGTTACAATTACAAACATATCTTGTTAATGCCTTTCTCTATGGCATGTTCACTTTAGGGGTACAATAAGACATAGATAGGAAATTATCTATTTTATCCTATGTTTAATATATTAAAAAAGTAAAGTTGGATAAAATTCAGATAACCTCGCAATCCAATTTATCCAATTAGATCTGTATAATTTTACCACAAGAGAATATGGGATAAAGTTTATCAGGTAGGATAGGATAATTTTTTTAAGACAATATTATTCCTACTTCTTACTTCCTCCTTCCTTCTCTTCTCTTCTCCTTTCTTTTGCCAAAATTGTCGCAAGTAGGGGTGTTCACGTTTGGTTTTTTATCCTTTTTTTACAAAATTTGTACCATACTAATATATTTAGTTTTTTAAATTAAAACAAAAACCACACTTCTTGATACTGGTACCAATTTCTTCAGTTTTCTTTAGTTTAGGTATGGTTCGGTTCAGTTCGGTTCAATTTTTTCATTATTAAGTTATTTTTTTTTATCTCTAATCATTCAAGTCAAATAATATGAAATAACGAGTAAGGGTTTTTCTCATTTTCACAAAAACCTTCAAGCAATATATAAATTGACACCTTGTCTCTTATATAGCTATTTCCAATATAAGTATTAAGGAAATTTAAAGGAAAAAAAAAAAAAAGAAATTAAGGAAATCTAAGCACTACATAATTGGATCAGTACATAGAATTTTACTTCAACTAAAAGGAAACAAATCTAGCAAAAACTTATTAGCTACCTTTTTGGACATTTTATTTATAATCAACCTTTAATCAAGTAACACAACCTACTTTTGCCAAATCTACTTTTTCCAAATTCACTTTCCCTAAACCCACATTTTGTCAAACAAGCCGTTAGAGACTAACGAAAAAGTTAAAAAACCTTAAAATTACTAATACTCATCATTTTTAATTAAAAATTGGATGTCTCTAATTCCTTCGTATGATCATATTTTATGAATGTCAAACTAATTAGAAATAAAAGGAAAGATTTGAAAACCTTAAAACTATCCAGTACTCACAATCTCTAATCCAAAATCAGATATCTCTAACTTCTTCATAGGATCGTACTTTATGTATATCAAAAATGAAATACTTTGTTCGGTGTACCAAGTAAGAGAATGTCAAAACTCTCAAAACATACTAAAAAT